CAACAGCGTGGGTCAATTGAATCGTACGTAACGGAGTTTTCTCGGCTAAGTTTACAGGTGCCGGAACTTGACGAACTCTCCAGAGCCTTGCTATTTGTCAACGGCCTGCACGGTAACATGCGGACCTTGGTAGTGAAGGAACACCCCACTACACTGTCAGCCGCCGTTCAGTCAGCGCTAGCAGTCGCCTCAGACAGCCGATTTCAGCGCAGACCACCACTGGCGACCGCGCCGGGATTCGCACCACCATCAGGTAGCAAAAAGCTAACAAAACTAAGCCCCGAGGAACGTGAGACATTACGAGCCCAGGGGGGCTGCTTCGCACGTCGTCGACCAGGCCATATGGCCCAGAATTGCCCGCAGCATCGAGATCACCCAAACGGTGGACGTCAGTAAGGCCGATGCGATTACTGACGCAGCAAGAAAAGGCATCACCTGCGTGTAGTGTGTGCTCCGTCTCTACCCGTAACCGATTCAGTAGCCTCGCTGTGGAGGATGTTGACGATGATGCTGAATGCTCCGAAGCCAATTTCAAGCGAGATGTTACACCAACTATTGAGGCCCAGGTTACCAGCGTCAATGTGGAAACGGAACATGAGCTCCTGCGTGTAGAAGGCAAAATCAACGGTCGTCGCGCGCTTATGTTAATAGATTCGGGCTCGACCCATGATTTCATTGCCGAACAGTTTGCCAGGAGAGTTAACCTGCCAACCGAAATTGGCTCGGAAAACCTGAATGTCACGCTGGCTGATGGAGCATCAAGCTCGTTTCCCATGGAGACGACCCACGAATTGAAGGTTATCGTAGGCGACTTCAGCGATAACCAAACCTTCACGGTGTTCCCCCTTCATCGCTATGACGCTATATTGGGGAAACCTTGGTTAACGCGTAACAATCCAGACATAAACTTCCGGACGAATGAAGTCAGGTTGAACTCGAATGATTTGCCTTGTGCGTCGCCCAGTCAAAGCGAACCGACCGCTCCTGTGGAGGCGATGTTCATATCTGGTCGTCAGGCTAGGCATGCCCTTAGGAGTGGAGACGAAGGTGTTCTGGCGTGGGTCAGCGTAGAAGACGGCACTGGCAAGGAACCTCCCGACAAATCCACTCAGAACGAGCACCCAGATCTCAAGGCCATGTTCCGTGACTATGACGATCTTTTCCCGGATGATCTGCCAGCTAGACTCCCACCAGAGAGGTCTGTAGACCACGAAATCCGCCTGGAGGAAGGCTCATCACCCCCATCGCGACCTGCCTATCGCCTGCCCAGGCCAGAAATGGAGGAATTGAAGAAACAGCTCACAGAACTCTTGAAAAAGGGTTTCGTAGAACCAAGTAAGTCCCCCTTTGGTGCACCGGTGTTTTTTGTCAAGAAAGCTGATGGTTCGTTACGCATGGTCTGCGATTGGAGGGAGCTAAACAAGATAACTGTTAAGAACAAGGCGTGCTTGCCCAATGTGGATGATTTATTCGATACCGTACAGGGCGCTAGGTACTTCACGAAACTAGACCTCCGATCAGGGTATAATCAGATTCGCATTCAAGCTGAGGACGTGCCCAAAACCGCGATTAACACTCCCTTTGGGCATTACCAATTTAGGGTCATGGGATTTGGTCTCACCAATGCACCGGCAACATTTCAATCCATGATGAATACGATTCTTCAACCATATCTGAGGGAGTTCGTAGTCGTGTTCCTAGATGACATACTCATCTTTAGCAAAACGTGGTCGGAGCATATGCAGCATGTCCGGTCGGTATTGAGCGTGCTCCGGGACAACCAGTTATTTTGCAAACGGTCAAAATGTGAATTTGGCGTGGAGAGTGTGCGGTTCCTGGGACATTGCATCGATGGACTGCACATCGCCCCTGACCCAGACAAGATTGCCGCAGTAAAGGTCTGGCCCGCTCCGACTTCCGTCACAGAGGTGAGGCAATTTCTTGGATTTACGAATTATTTTAGGCGATTCATAGATCGATACTCATCGCTCTCTAAGAACTTAGAGGAGATAACGGGAAAACATGCACAATTCGAGTGGAACAGCTCTCGGCAACATGCCTTTGAATCGCTAAAGCATGCCTTGTTGAATGCGCCCCTATTGCGGCTGGCTGATGTGAACCGACCATTCAGAGTGGTAACAGATGCAAGCGATTTCGCCTTGGGATGTGTTCTTCTCCAAGAACTAGAGGAAGATGCCTGGCATCCAGTGGCTTATGCTAGCCGAAAATTGTCTGCTGCGGAACAGAATTATACAGCTACAGAAAGAGAAACATTGGCCGTAGTGTTTGCGCTAAAGACCTGGCGCATCTACCTCTTTCAACACTTTGAGGTCATTACAGACAACATGGCGGTAGTTTATCTGAAAACAAAACCAAGCATTACAAAGAGAGAGGCGCGATGGGTTGAATTCCTAGCTGACTATAACTACACAGTCCGTCACAGACCCGGCAGAGAGAACCCTGCAGATCCCCTTTCGCGTCGCCCAGATCTCCATGAGAGTAACCTCGTGGAGAATGCAGTACCACGTTTGAATGCTATTGAGTATGCTTTAGCAATGAATGATGACGTGTCCAATACAATATCAGATGCCTACCAGAGAGACAAAGAGCTAACTCCCATCATAGAAAGATTGAAGCATTCTCTCCGAGATAATTTGCATGATCGCTATTATTGGGACGAATCCACTGATCGCTTGTACCTCAAGGCATCCCCCAATAACCGGTTGTGCATACCACAGTGCGGTGTCCGGTTAAAGCTCATTCAAGAACACCATGAGTGTGCAACGGCTGGCCACCCGGGTCGTGATCGAACGTACTTCCGCCTAGCACGTTTTTTCTACTGGCCCCGAATGGGTCTCGATATCAAGAGATTTGTCAAAACCTGTGATCTCTGCCAGCGAACGAAGGGAGGTCAGCCACGAACAGGGCTTCTCCAGTCACTTCCAATACCTAATAGTCCTTGGCAGGATATCTCAATGGATTTTATTGTTGGATTGCCCCTTACTTCTCGTGGCTTCGACACAATTTACACCTTTGTGGACCGACTTACGAAATGCGTACATCTTATTCCAACAAACTCGAAGATTGATGCTAAGGGCAGCGCTCAACTGTACATTCAAAACGTGTTTCGTCTGCACGGGCTGAGCTCAACCATTGTTTCCGATCGCGATCCACGATTCACTGCAGCTTTTTTCAAAGAAGTATTCTCTCAGCTAGGAACTAAATTGGCATTCAGCACTGCTAACCACCCTCAAACGGATGGTTTGACAGAGAGAGTTAACCGGCAAGTGGGAGATGTTCTAAGAGCATTTGTGAACTTGAGACAGGACAATTGGGATTCGCTTCTACCACTCTGCGAGTTTGCAATAAATAGTTCACAACAGTCATCTGTAGCTAATACACCGTTCTATCTGAACTATGGGTTTGACCCTAAGTCCCCGCCCGAATTCATTCTTACGGGAGGGGAAAGGAGTGATTCGGTCGATTGGCTTCATGAGCAGGAAGCCGCACTAAGGATAGCTCGAGATGCTATGCTCGACGCCCAGGCAAGGCAAGCTCTATACGCAGACCAGACGAGAACGCCCAGTGATTTGAAGGTTGGTGATAGCGTTCTTGTCTACAGAGACTTTCTACTGACCCCGGAAGCTCGTGGCCAGCCCTCTCGGAAGTTGCAACCCAAGTGGTTTGGTCCGTATCGTATCCAGGCTAAGATTGGAGCGAATGCTTTTCGCTTGGAACTACCCCGTGAACTTCGCTGCCATCCCGTGTTTAATGTCACTGCTCTTAAACGCTACGAAGAGAACACGATTCCTGGAAGACACCAACCCCCGCCTCCGCCCTTCACAGATCTAGATGGACACACACGTTATGTTGTCGAAGCCGTTTTGAATCACCGACACCGCAGTGGTGAGCAACACTTCCTGGTGCATTGGAAGGGTTACCCCAGCAGCGAAGCTACGTGGGAGCCCGCTGGCAACCTATGTGATGAGTCTGGTCGGAATATTAAACCGCTGCAGAACTATCTAGCCTCACAACGACAGCAGCCTTGATCTAACTGGGCTGAGCCATATGCATCTCTTACTGAGATAGTTAATAATTATGTTATAGACTGATATAGTTTTGCGTCATCTCCTTGTGAGAGTGATGAAGTTGAGTTGGATTACACTTCAATGTGGTTATGCATGTGCATGAGTGATTATTTAATATTCCCCTTTCCACAATTGCATCTCCTAACTGGATTGTGTTATCTAATAGAACCTTGGGCTTCCTATGGGGCCGGGAGAGTGTAATAGTTTTACCTTGACACTTCTTGCTTGTCTTATGGTAACACCTTGTGTTCCTACTATTCTCACTCCTGCGGTTCTCACCTTTCTTTTGCTTTATAACCTCTGGTTTGAACATCATTCGACGAATTCTCCAATCAATCAAGTCTATACTGTTACAGTAAGGGCCGCGTCCCACCCGCCTGTGTGGATTCACAGGATGTGTGAGTTACGAAGTCTGAAGAAATTGTTGAACGGCCTCTGCTGGGATGACGACTACACCATAGCTCAGTGGTTTGAGCATCGCTGGCTACAAGCGAGGGTCCCTGGTTCAAGTCCTGGTGGTGACAGTCAATTTTTTCTTCAGACTTTTCCCGTTTGTCTCTTTCCCTCAAACCAGTTAAAATAAATAATAATGAATAAATAAATAAGGCACTACATCTTTTCCTGCAGCATTCCGCATATAGCTCTGGCGACACGCTCCAAGCTATGGGCGGCGCTGGCGACAGCATTCCATGGCCTGATGCGAGTTAGCGAGTACACGTCCTCCTCGCCACCAGGGTCGGGTACCCTGATAACTCTAAGGCGCGCTCACCTCGCACTTTTTCAGGCCACAGCCAGCTTACGGCTTCAACGCCCGAAGCCATCCCACCTAACAAGCGGTGGCAAGGTTGAAAACTATTTCAAACTGTGATTATGCGTCATATTGGTGGGTCCGCAAATAGCACTTACGTGAACAAGATGGCACAGATGGTGTCCATTGACCGCCATTTCCACAAGTGATACGCTTCTGCGTGGTAGATTGTGATTGACCGGTTATGTAGTAACCAGGAACACATTGTACATTCACTGCTCTTCCGTGGAGAACAGTAGTTCCACGGTTGGTCCACCATAATCGACGAGTGTGCCTTGGAACAGTGCAATATATCTCTGAAAGAGAAGTGTACCAAACGCTATATTCATACACACTCACTGTTGTCTCGACGTATAGAGCGACTAACATAGAAAGATCCACCACAGGACATTGGACAGTAGGTGGTGCACCGCCACATGAATGCGCTTTGTTACGTGTTCACAAAACAAATCAGGATTTGCGCCTTTTATGGAATTGACACCGTCAGTCGTCCGGAATTTGTCACGAGTTCACACAATAAACCATGATTTGCGCCTTTTATGTCGTCTCAGTCTGAGTTACAGACGTAGAAGGACAGACGGGGCCACTTAGGCTGCAACCACACTAGGTACAAAACTGCGTAAACGCAACTTTTCTGCTTATGTCGTCAAGGAAACGCGTGTGAAACGCAAAACGTACTGCGTTTCGTTTCAGCAAACCTGGTACCCCTGTAGAAAGCAACATTTCGCCTTTTCCTTGCGTTTCGCTCTGTTCTTCACACGGCCGGGTAGATGTTTAGAATTCTTGTTGAGGCTTGCACTGTGTCGGTAGTAGACGGCTTCCTTGTCAGTTTGTAGTATTTGAGATTTCATCTGCCAGGGCTTTGCTTTCAGTATAATTTCCGGACAGTCCTGTTGCCTGCTGTTGTTAGTTCGAGATGCCGCGCAACTACAATGTACATTGTATTTCGCTGATAATCTCAAACTGAGAAGCTCATGCAGCTTGGGGCAGCGTACCAGAAGACGAAGCAGGGCCAGATGACAGCCTGGAGCGAACCATCCGAGAGAAGGAAATGACCGAGGCCTTGAACCATGTGAACGTGTATGTCAAGGCGCTCACGACTCTTTTTCAAACTAGTACTGAGTACTACTACATTGTACATACATTTTCACAGCGGCATTTTTCAGGGACCCCTAGAAATGTAGACAAAACGCAAGGATTCCTTGCGCATGAAATGGCAGTGTGGATGCGACTTTGCGTTATCTAAAAGCTGAACGCAAAAACGTACTTGATTTTGTACGTAGTGTGGTTACAGCCTAAGCATGCTGGTATCACAAAACAGTAAGCGTTTCCTGAGATACTGTGTGTGGTCTGATCTAGAGGGGCGTGTTGCGGTTGATGCAACGCCAGACAAATCAGATATGATGAGGTTGAGCATTATTAGCAAAGTCGCTAAACAACTAAATGGACCAGTGGAATCCCTGCCGCATTTAAGACCTGTCAATCAACGCACAAATTAGCGCCCTAATTACTTTCGGAGAATTCTATGCTGGTCTCAAATGTGGGACTGATACATTTCAAGCCAAACAGTATGCAATTCTCACATATCAGTGTACAAAACATTCGATTTCAAAGAACGTAGGTGGTACATGTACTGGTTTTAGACCTAGCTGTGTTCCAGAAACTCAATGTTTCAAAACAATTTTTTTAATACGCCGACGACATAACTTTCGACAAGTGCATCACCACCCGACCCAGCCTGGCAGAACAGCCAGCAATCCTCCAGCCGGCAGTAGACTCACTGGGAGCATGGGGAAGCAGGTGGAGGATCAAGTTCGAGCCCACAAAGTCGCAAGCATTGACCGTCAGCCACCGCCGCTCGCCAAGCCCCCCCGAACGCAATACGCTTCCAAGGATCAGTCGTGCCAGAAGAAGAGGAGCGCAAGCTTCTTCGCGTCACTTTCAACAGGCAGCTGGCATTCCGCAGCCAAATCGACAGCTTGTAGTACGGGGAGCCCAGCGGCTCGGCTTCCTCCCTAAGGCATGGGCTGTGCTAGACCCAAAGCACCCGGCAATCCTGTATCGTGGCTTTGTCCGCCCTGTGTGCCATACTCTAGTATGGCATGCTGGTGTGGATGAGCGCAGCCCCCACCACCTTGGTCCGCCTCACTGGCATCCAGGGCCGTGCCCTACACATACTTGGACACGGATCATACCTCCCGAGCCTCGACACTCTACGTACCGTCGCAAGGCTCTGCTTCCTGTACGAACTACACTTTGTGGAGGGTTCGGAAATGCTGAAAGCCATTCTGCCACCATCAGCAGCCGCACCACAATGCCGCATGTCTACTCGTGAGACAACCAGATCTGCGGCGCATCATCCATCACAACTCACCAGTATTCTTCCTCCTCGGTCACGAAACTGCAACACACTCCGCTCATTTCCTCACTCCCTGATCGCAACGTGGAATCAGCTCCCACCTACCCTTCTGCAGTCTCCCCCTTCTCGCAGAGGTATGCACACTTTCAAGAAAAATGTCAACGACCACTTGCGGCGCAACAAATGGGAGTGGGCCACAGACAGGTTATGATCTCTCCATCGCAGCCAACACACCAGTCTAATATACCGACCGCACTCCAGCTCCCTTCAACCCCTCTCTGATCCCTTTCGCTCAGCCTTAATATGCGATTATCAGTTCTCTCCATCTTCCAACGGTGCCCTGCTTTTAATATTGTTATGTCATATCTCAATCTAAAATTCTCCCCATTATTGTTTGCAAAGCCGGTGCCTCCCTCTTGCATGCACATGTTCTTTTCTCCTATGTATCGGCGCACATTAGTAAGGATGAATCCGAGACCTTTGGTCGGAGGAGTTATTTTTGCCCCGCCCCCATTTCCATCCAATATGTCACCGCCCCTGCTATGCAGCATCTGACAGTTCAGTGGTATTCAGTAAAACAAATCTTGTTTCCGACTAGAATATGAATGATTATAGATGGAAGTTGGTGTGCGTTGTTAACTCATTTCTGCTGAACTGTAGTGAACGTGTAGTGAATGTTCAGAGAAGTGCATTCACACCTTTGGTCTTCAGTACCAAAGACCTCTGTGGCCGTAAATGTCTGCGAGCTTTAAAGGGGAAGTTAAGGCAAAAATTAAAATTTCACCAGTTGTAGTCTTCGGGGTGCTGAGTCGAATGGTCGTGGTCCGAGGAAGCTGAGACGCTCCCTTCCTACTTGAATCCCAATCGAACTCGCGCACTTCCACCGAAACTGGGTGACTGCGCCCTACTAGATGGGGATTTGTATGCAAAATGTCACTAAAAGCGCCATTTCGTTCTGATAAGAGCACGGATGACCGCGATTGGCCCATATGTTGTAGTCTTTTGGACGCTGAGTCGACTGGTTTTGGTACGAAAAGGCTGCGATGCAGCGTTCCTCCTTTATTCCCAATCGAACATGGTTGAACAAGCGGTCACGTGCTCCTGGGTGCCCAAATCACCTGGTCACCACGCCAGCAGGCGACAACTTTCACACCAAGGTTCAACTCGAGTGACAGGACTGCACCCAAAAAAGGTCAAACAGGCTAGTAAGTTGTACCCTGCAGGCACGGTGACCAGGTGACTGGCGTACGCAGGAGCACGTGACCGCTTGTTCAACCATGTTCGATTGGGAATAAAGGAGGAACGCTGCATCGCAGCCTTTTCGGACCAAAACCAGTCGACTCAGCGTCCAGAAGACTACAACATATGGGCCAATCGCGGTCATCCGTGCTTTTATAAGAACGAAATGGCGCTTTTAGTGACATTTTGCATACAAATCCCCATCTAGTAGGGCGCAGTCACCCAGTTTCGGTGGAAGTGCGCGAGTTCGATTGGGATTCAGGTAGGAAGGGAGCGTCTCAGCTTCCTCGGACCACGACCATTCGACTCAGCACCCCGAAACCTACAACTGGTGAAATTTTATTTTTTGCCTTAACTTCCCCTTTAACGAATTAACATGTAGTCGGCTTGATTGCCATGCATCAGTCTGGCTTGCAGTATTCATTGGTCATGAATAATTTAAGATGCAAGATCTCTTTAGTCCTGGTCAGGTGGTTTGTCACCTGTTTCTTCGGTTGTCAGGCCCCATTTTTGCGTGGTCGATCCGGGGCTTTATCATTCCTGGATGCTTGCCGTCTACATTCTTTGTAGACACGCCTTCCGGTTAATATCCACCTACTTTAAAAGTAGGGATGATCTGGAATTAAGCCGGCTCTTTAGTTGTGCTCTGGGAAAAGAATGATCTGCTTTGATAGTAGAGACTGCGACTCACTAATTATAATAATTGCCTGTGAGCATGCGTTGACTTTAGATTATTGTATTCATCTTTCCGGATCACGGTATTATTGATTTTTCAACGAGAGGGCTTGGAAGCTCAGGGCCCTACGCTATGCTTTTAGTCGAGCGAAAGCGATGCAAACTGAACTTATTATTATTATTATTATTTTAAAACGAAGGTAAGTTTTGGGTCGCAAATATCCACGCAAACACACATCCAGTCATAATAAGGCACTTGTCATAAGTATCCGAACGTTTTCGGTCCCTTCTCATCAAGGATTATACAGGGAATGGCTCAAGCTGGAAAGACTAAAACTTATATAGCGTAAAGATAATTAGATAACAACACTCGTGACAAGGTGGAAAATTATCAAGTTTAGCACGACACAAAACTCGAAGGAAGATAATAATAGTGACAACAACATAGTGAGCAAATTAAGTTACATTGTTACCACCTCGACGAGGAGTAACACCAAACAATTGTAGCGACAACACATTTTCTTTCTGTACGCAAAGTTCAGGATCTAACTTACGGATATACAAAGCTTCTAACACAGCCAAATGTAACGCACATCTACCACGTGACAATATTGAGAAAACATTATCACTGTACAACTCACGACAATTGGTACAGACATTTGGCTGTGTTAGAAGCTTTGTATATCCGTAAGTTAGATCCTGAACTTTGCGTACAGAAAGAAAATGTGTTGTCGCTACAATTGTTTGGTGTTACTCCTCGTCGAGGTGGTAACAATGTAACTTAATTTGCTCACTATGTTGTTGTCACTATTATTATCTTCCTTCGAGTTTTGTGTCGTGCTAAACTTGATAATTTTCCACCTTGTCACGAGTGTTGTTATCTAATTATCTTTACGCTATATAAGTTTTAGTCTTTCCAGCTTGAGCCATTCCCTGTATAATCCTTGATGAGAAGGGACCGAAAACGTTCGGATACTTATGACAAGTGCCTTATTATGACTGGATGTGTGTTTGCGTGGATATTTGCGACCCAAAACTTACCTTCGTTTTAAAGTATTATCCGCCTCCCACCTTTTAAAAAAAAAAATTATTATTATTATTATTATTTATTCTTCTTTTACTCTCTGCTCATTCTGCCAATAGTTTCTCTCGTACAGACCCTGCACATGAGCTGAACTACCTTCGTTCAGTGGTTTGTAGTCGATACAAACTGTTCTTGACCTGTTCTAAGCGTTTTTATATCCATCAAAATCCATCACAAAGTTTTTGTTAACGGAGGACATTTTGTGGACCCTGGCTAGCTAGCGCCAGGCGATACTGCACTATCGCCCTGCATGCATTCCCCCATGCACTTCGCATGCAAAGATGCCAGGCCTCTACAGTCTTTCATTTCTCGGTGCAGACCTTGCTATCACCTGACCTCTCATGTTTATTGGCAGTCTTCGGACGGGCCAGGAGATGTTGAATAAATAAATAAATAAATAAATAAATAAATAAGACCGCTTTAACGTCATACATAATGCTACTAGATATACTCATTCTCTTGATGGTACTGTACGGGACAGATACGGGATAGCTTTACTGAAGTAACGCCTTCTGGATAATGTCTTCTGCATAGCCACGGGAATAAAGTTCTTTGAGTCAAATTTCAGCTAAACTACTCTGCAAAGTTTCCCACCACGGATGCAGCTCAGACTGTGCGAACTCCACGTGCCATTCTCTGGGCAGTCAATTTTCAAGCCATCACTAGGTACATAGCCCTTCGGAAATGGCCTGTCCTTGCAACGAAACTAGAAAATGTCTCCATATCCGCCGGCTGTGATGTGCAGCGTTGAACCTGTTCAAATGATGCTCGGTGTGAGCGCCAACGCTGTCTCTTTGGAGGCGTGGGTTCGAATCCCACCGCTGCCACCAATTTGTAGCGGGCCGCAGTCTCTCGGAGGCAAGAACGCACAAGGGTCTCAGCGAACCCACTGTAACTGGCAATTGAAATGTACTGGCAACGAAATTAACTAACTGGCAACTAAATTAACTGATTGGCTACTAAATTAACTAACTGGCAACTAAATTAACTGATTGGCTACTAAATTAACTGACTGGCTACTAAATTAACTGACTGGCAATAAAAGAATCGTGAGCAGCAGCTTTTATGCAAAGGCAGACTCCGTACGCTAATGTACGGGGATACGCTAACGTATGGGGATACAGTACGGGGATATGCTAACGTACGGGAATACAATAACGTACGGGGATATGCTAACGTACGGGGATACGCTATACGCTACAATTGCACCCGATATCACATTATCTATCGGTGGCAGCGACGGACACATGTTGGCTGATAGAAGAAAAAGACAGACATCAACAGATGGTGCGATATGGTGTTATGTTCCGCCGTGACCTCCATGCTTGCCATGAAAACGCAACTGTCATTGCTGATAGGTACTGTACAGTACGATAGTTCTCCTTGATCTCGATCAATGCTTTGAATTATGTGTAGATTCGTTAGTGCTAGCTATCTTGCTAAACCCCTGCAAAAAGAGCTCAATGCCACGAGAGCAGAGCCAAAAACGAGTAAGCAGTATAACTATTGTTGAGTCACCTTCACCATTACACTGCGCTCTTTAGCCGACTAGACCCTCCTTCACACAATCATCACCACTGCGAGAACACTTCCCTAGACGATATTGATAAACTCCTTCAGACAGCTGTTTCGCTTATACATACCTCATCAGTGAAGGTACATGTTGAATGATTACAAATATAGACCAAACTCTTTCCTGCCCCACATTTTGTTGATGTACAATAGTATTGCAATATTGATAATACATATGAGGCATACTTTGCTTTCAGCTCTCTCTATTTCTGGTGAACTCCAGTTCTGGTGTATTCTGTCAGACCCTTACATTGTGCTGTGGACGGATTTAACTAAAATAGATAAGTCATAATATTATGAAATCAAATCGTGTTCCATGTAGCAGTACTGTACTAATGGGCCAGTACTGCCTTTCGTTCGCACCCATGCATCTCCTTCCTTACCTGAACATGTTGGCAAGGAACCAGCAGAGTCTCCTAACCAAGTACCATCTTCCATGCACCGCATCACAGCCATTCTTGCGGCTCCTCCTCTTCCAGTCACGTGATACCCGAAGTTACATGATACAGTCAATGTGAACGGGTACCAGGCGCGTGCCAGGCCATCTTGTGGAGAGGGGTTATGTTCCTTCCCCAGGATTTTGCGTCCATTCGTAACCCGTCCCAGGTACGGAGTAAGCGTACAGTATCTTCTTTGTCCTGCACAATCAAAAATTAAACAGATCACATATCTCTCTCTATTTCCACCATGTATTCTCCCAATACCCCTCCTTGTTGTCTCACTTCCAGCTACCCTCTTCCCAAAGCAGTCGTCACCCTTCATCCATAATTCTTCCTAAAGCTGGCACCTTCTTTCGTAAATCAACCCTTTTTTCTTTGAGTGTTGCCTGGAATAAACTTCCTGAAGATATTCGTTCACTCTCTACAACAGCGAAATTTAGTATTGCTGTTCGTCGGTATCATTCGCAATCTATGTTTTCTTTGAAAGGTATTCCTGACTTTTGTGTCTAGGCTAACCACATCTATGATAGTTTCAATAGTTTGTGTATATGTCAGTTATAGTAGTCCGCAATGCTGCTTTTCTAATTATCATTATGATTAGCATGCAATGTACTACCCGAAGTACTGAATTTACTTCTTCTGTACTCTATATTCTAATGTATCTTCTACCTCTTCTCCCTTACAAACATACTTTCTCATTTTCCATACTTAGGAGACTCCCTTCGATAGGCATCTATTTGCCTCTGGAGGATCCGTGAAATAAAAATCAATCAATCAATCAAATCAATATCCAACTAGCACTCAGAGTTCAGTGTCATTACCTTGAATTGAATCTTTAAAACTTTTAAGTACTCTAGTACTTTACTACTATACTATAAAAAACATTTAAAGCCGATTTTGCCACACATCATCATGATTATGACGTAGTATGCAGCTTCCGTTTCTTCAATCAAGGTTGTTTCACCCGCTTACCAAGGGCGCCCTGTAAAATTAATAGACTTGTCTGTTGGGATTGCCCTTCTTGCTTACATGATCATAACAACATCAAAGCACAGTAAATCAGTAAATGTGATAAACTTCTTATACCTACACTGAGCATTTAACAATTTGTACACGGTCCCGGTCATGATTTTCGTCGAAAGTAATTGAATGAAGTAGTTTTTTCCTGCCAAGTAGTACAAACAACAACATTTTGAGAATTGTTCCCCGCAAAATCTTTGCTGAAGAGCGAAGTAAAAGTACTGTACCACGACAAATAATAACGTTGGTTTTTGCGGGGTCGGCAGCTTTACAGGGTGTTTCCTCGTAGTATCGTGTGTCCGCTTGCAGTGCGAGATACACTATTCGGGCTGGGTGTATCTTTCAGTAGCGGGTAATAGCTTCAGGCTTCTTGACTGGAAGAAGGACAACATCTCCAACCTTGAGAGTTCCCACAGTCTCATATCGTGAGACAATGGTCATAAACCCGTACATGTATTCATATTGACCTAATACTTAGCTGTGCTGCGGGATGGGAGCCGATTGAAAGTGGCAGAGCAGTGCCATATACCTTACAGAATGCGGGTATACTCAGGCTGCACACCTGACTCCTCTATGGCAGCCTATTGCCATGTAACAGTACATCCGAAGAACCTTTTAATTTTGCTCTCTTTAGCATTCGCTGACTGCCACAAGCGAATAGCGGTGGTCGTGTCTTAATTATACTCACACGGATGACCTGGACACGAAAGTGCATCATTGTTATTCTTGACTAGTGTCAACGCCCGATTATGCCGCGAATCTCAACTGCGCCGAGGGGCAGGTTTACATTAGTTCCTACAGGGCAAGTTCCACGTACCCCACCCCTAGAATAAGGCAATTCACCAGTGGTCAATACGGCCGAGGATTAAAATACCGGTATAACAATTTTAACTTGCCGACCTAGCCCGCAAGCAAGATGAAATCAAGAGGCCTACCTGATGCGAGCTGCACGGCAATCCACGCCATAACAAGAACAAAAATGAAACGGCAGGAGATAGCCATACTGGATGGCCTCTTCATTAACCGGTTGACCTGGTTATTAGCAAATCTGACGGCGGGCACAACCTGTGATTTGTCTTCTGAAAATGGATCACGAAAACACCGAAGCGTGCCTCACACCACAAGGAATTGCGCAGGAAAGCGATAGGCTTTTTCTGCTTTTTGACGCTTGGAGAGCGAGTGTTCCTAGCCTGCACTGCACCACTCCGTTGAATTGTGAAAGTGTCATTACCAGTTGTTCATAAGAACAGGATGTGTGTTGCCTTGAAGTCGACAAGTGTTTGACTCTGTTTTTCGCGTTTACTGGCCTGTCTTGTTTTGGGCCAGTCCAGCACTATGTATTGCCAGCATATATGTATGCCTAGTGTTAGTATCCTTGTAGACTCACACTAGGATTACGTAAAGGCAAGGGTAAGCTTAGACCAGCGAAACGGATGCCTATCCGGAAGTATACTAATATTCAAATGATGAGAGGTCTGCTGTTGTCTGTTTTTGATTTTCCAAGGGATATAACCACACACACAAACACACACTACTACTGCTATTGACAGCTGCCAAGAAATGGCCACGCCGCTCCCCGAAGGAAGGTACTGTCAGAGAGGTTAGGGAAGAGGTAGGCAGTGCTTCAAATGCCGCTCCAGGTCCTGTCGCCTCCGAAACTGGCGTCAATTACAGACTCGGCAATGATGTTCAAAGTGATGGCGATCAGTCACTGTAGGGCGATTCGGGCGGGGTCCACAGCGATGGCGCTTGAGGCCAGCAGTAGACTTAAAAGTACGCTGGCAGGCTGTACATGCGGGACCTCGGCAACAGGATGAGCATCACTAGGCGGTCAGTCGTCAAATTTGTCATTCTCTTGACACTTATGCACTGCAAGCCCACCCCTGCTCCGGAGCCATCTACTGCAGGCACGGCACTGCACTGATGTCGGACTGCTGTGCACTTGTGCCGGGCCATGTCAGCGCAACGACGAAACATGCGGTCGCAAACGTGGCACACAATCGTCTTCGGGGCAGGCTCCTTCACCAACGCTGCTGCCGACACAATATCACGCCATTCTTTGCGATCGTTGGCCGATTCGAACCAATTGTGCACACCGGCCACAGTCAGATCAGCCCGGACAGCGTCCTTCCAGCTCTGTCGGGGGCGCAAAACCGGCGGGTTCGTTGGAGATGAGCGAAGAGCAACTGCTTGGGTAACCGATTGTCATCGAGCCGAGCTAGGTGCCTAAGCTACTCCAAGCGTCTTCTCTGTACCATGCACGACAGTGGAGTAGGGTCACCCCACTGTGCGCGTAGTTGCTCCGATGTGATATGTTGCTCCCACTGGCGGCCGCGCGAAATGCCAATGATTGACCGTAGGTTGGCGTGATGGAACATGTCCAGCTTGTCCAAATCCGACTTCAATGGGGTCCAACACTCTGAGCCATACAAAACCGTGGTGAGAACACATACCACGTACAAATGCCGTCGAGTAGGTAGGTTCAGGCTCTGATCATGCAAAATCCGCCGAAGACAGCCAAAGGCCCTGGCACCCCTCGCAAGGCGGCTCTGGACATCGGCATGAGCTCGCGAATCCGGAGTTATGACAGATCCAAGATAGGGGAAGGAGGTAACAGCTTCAACCCTTTCATTGCCAAATGCCAGTTTGGAACAATCAGTGGCGGCGACTCCATAGCCCGCGATCAGTAGCTTAGTCTTCGTCATGCTGACCGTGAGGCCAAAGCTGGATGCCACATCACAGAAGGCGGATAGGGAGAGGTCGGCTGCAGCACGAGTTGTTGCGAGTAGGACGGGGTCATCGGCAAACTCAAAATCATCAGCATGACCAGTCTGAGACTGTCGACGTCGCCCAGCTGCACGGGGAAACAACTGCCCATCAATCAAGAAGCTGAAATCCACACCAGACTCGATGCCGCGCTCCCTGAGAACAGACCTCCACCGCTCCATCACCAATCCGAAATACAGGTTGAACAGCACAGGAGCCATGACACACCCCTGCCGCAAACCATTTTGAACAGAGATGGGATCGGTACAACCACCAGCAACACGAACAGACGCCAACATGTCCATATTGAACGACTTCACGAGAGCCACAGCCTGAGGGGGGACACCGAGCCGAAGCAATGCCTGCCACAGAGCCTCACGAGGCACAGAGTCATATGCTTTGCGGAGGTCAACAAAGACGCAAAACAGCTTCGATCGATGCTCATAAGATTTCTCTATCTGTTATCGGACAGAGAAGATGGCATCAGCACAACCACGGTTTCGCCGGAACCCACACTGCGACTCCGGTAGCTCATCCTCAGCGAGCACTTGCAGGCGATTCTGCACAACCCTAGCAGCTAGCTTTCCCACAACCTCCAGCAATGCAATTCCTCGCCAGTTGTCGCATCGAGAAAGGTCGCCCTTCTTAGGTATGGGGATGAGCACTGCATCACGCCAGTCCTGTGGTACGTAACCCTCCGACCAAAGAGATTGAAGCAGGTCCAGAAGGAGTGGGTGGAGGACGGGCACACCAACCTTCAACAGTTGGGGCACGGTCTGCGACATGCCACCAGCCTTGCCGTTCTTCAGATGTCTCAGTGCATGGGTCAACTCCTCTCCCGACGGTGGCTGCGTTAGCGAGTGCATGATCTCCCGCTGGGGAATTTGCTGGAATACCTCTGCATCGTAAGTACTGCAGACATTCAAAACACCCGAGAAATGCCCGTGCCATGTGCCCCTCTGCTCTTGCACAGATCCACAGACGTCTCCCCGAGTGTTGCGGATAGCCTGTTCAGATATTGGCTTTATTTCTCCAAAACAGCGCTGCATATCTCGGATGGCAGACCACACATATTTGCCGCTGAAACGTCCCCGCTGCACCACCGCCGCTTTTTCCATTAACCAGGTGGTCTTTGCCTGCCGTATACCAGCCCGAGCCTGGCCACGAGCCTCCTTGAAAGCCCTGTCGTCATTCTGATTGCCAGTTCTGAGCCACAGGTCATAATAGCCGATTACGGGATGCTAGTAGAGGCTCCAGTGTCGGGGCACTATTACGAAACCAGTCCGGTACACGCCGCTTGTCTCACCTCCCCAGCCACATCGACCACAGCCGACTTCACATCATTCCACTTACAGTCCACGGATGAGGCACACTCATATGTATCAGCCAGCTGGGACTCAAGACCAGCACAGTACCCAGCATGCAATGCAGACACGCCCTCAGCCTCCTCCTCTCATAAATGGCAACCGGTTAAACCGATGGACAGCAAATCTCCGAGGCCTGGAATGCGAGTCACAGTGATTGCGCTGCTATGCAATATCAGGTAATCGATACTTCATGCGGATCTAGCGGTGGTCAGTGCTACACTCTGCCGTACGCTTCACTTGACAATCCATGCAACGTTTACGATATCGCTGCCGAACAATTACGAAGTCTATGCAGTGCCATTTCTGTGATCCAGGGTGCTGCCAGGTGTACATGTGAATGCGCCTTTTGGGAAACAGCGTGTTACAGACAGTCAGCTGTTGACAGGCCAAGAAAGCAAGAAAGCTATGGCCAGCATCATTCACTTCACCCACACCATACGATCCACGTACTCCCTGCCACATCTCCATTTGCTGTGGACCAGCACCTACACGTGTATTGAAGTCACCCAGGACAATTACATCATCCAAAGTATTGATAGCGTCCAGTGCAGTTTCAAACTGGGCAAAGAACTCGTCCTTGCCGATTTGAGCCGACCTGAATGTTGGAGCGTAACAGGACATCACCGTCATCCAAGACAACACACACACACCCACACTTGTACTTGTTGCTCACTGCCAAAACTGGTCATGTGGGTCTCCCCGGTAGAGGGGAGAGAGACTCAAAAGGAATCTTGGAAAAATGACTCAACTGGCTATTGAACCACCCAACGGCTGATACCCCTGAAATCCCCAAAACTCTGGGTGGACTTGAAAATAATCCCACTTATGGGCTCACCACATCTCAGTAAGTGGGTGAGGACAAGGTGCAGAAAAAGGATTTTCGGTAGGAAAAAGAATTGACGGTATCAGGGTGTCCGTTCCGGGATCCAACTTCAGTTACCCCTGCTCCCAGTGAAGGTAATACTTGCTATTAGTGTGGGTAGCTAAATCAGAGTGGATCTGACTAAAGCTTCACTAGCACCATAACTACACAAGAGTTAATCTAGCCAGAAATAGGCCATGATTAACAGGTATATATACTTCAAATAGAAAGTATAATTATGAACCCTGATACCAAAAAGGTTGGTAGGTACAACATTACACCTTCAAGCAGCTAAGCCCGTTGGCAACAGACCCAACACAATCTAGCATAAGTGTACCCACCAAGCGAACTAGCTAGCACACACACACACACGCACATCCTTACGTGCCCATCTTGGATATGTTGGAGCTGGCACCTTCTCCGCCGACTCGACTCCACAGTTGATGGTCTCACAACTGTCATCCGGAGCACGCGGGAAATCCATCCAACCTTCCGCTCGAAATGCTTGCGATAAAGTACCACTCCCTGATCAACACACAGTGATTCCGAGAATTCGTCGCTCATCAGTTACCAGTAAACTTGAATATACCGAAGAAGATTGTGCCTGAATAGCACCACTTTCAACTGCTGTCCAGGCCCGAAAACGCATAAAGTCAAGGCGACGAGAAGCGGTATGGGCAACCAATAGCTTATCGCCGAGTTAGCGAGAAATACAGGTCGGGATTGCCACCTAACTTCCAGAAAACGTCGCCGGATCTGGCGGTGGAGCAGCCAGCGGAGAATTTTGCTTGAGTATCCACGGGAGGGGACTCTTCAGGGACAGTCGTTGTGGTGCACGCAGCTTTCAGGACTCGTATTCTTCAATATCTTCAGGATTATCTCATATTCTTCCTTGTTGGCTGCTTGCAAGAATCATTGTCCGTTATCAGTTCGTATTCACATGATTGCAGACTTCATCTGTACAATATCTAGCCGTAGAGAATGTTAGCCATTTGTGATTGGACCCCTCATGTTTCTCGCCTGCTTTCTTTTCTACCAATGCTGCGCACTGTGCTTGGTCTGAGATCTTGTGCTGTTTGTAGCTTCTTTCCGTTACCAGTTTCACACCCTGCTCAGTATAATGCGCCTAATTTCTACAGAATACAATTAATAATTTACAATACCATGCCGGACAGGCAGGCATAGTGGGATGGTCTAAGACCATGATTGAGAAACAGAGGGTACCAGGTTCAAGTCCTGCTTGGAAGCGGAAGGAATTTTTCCAGCCGTGCTGCGACCCACAGTTAATTGGGAACTCGTGGCCTGGCACGAGGGTAACATGGATGCAGCTAATGGGACTTCGGTCTTTGACCACTTGGTGGTGGGTCTGATCTACTCACCTCCCACCGTTTAGGCGCTGCATCTGCGCCTTTGATCCTAGAGGGTGGTGGCGTTCCCACGGCGGATGCGGAAAACTCGGCTTCCAGCCGAGTCTCACGCGAACCGTGAAATTTATTTTTTTATTTTAATACCATGCCGACTAAATTATGCTATTCAGTATCCCCTTCTCTGACGGCGCATTTTCGTAGACGGAACAGCTGCTTGGAGGAACTCCAGTATCCGCACTCGTGAACCATTCGCTGTTGGAATGTTTGCTGCGTATAATGGCTGCCGAAGGCATTTTGGTGACAGGTTGATGATTTCACACAACATACCAAGGTCTTCGAGCTTCAAGGATATCGAACGGTTTCAGGTCCAGTTGGCGTGCCTATAGCACTTGAGCAAACAACGACTAGAGCTCCCTATTTTGATACCGAAGTAGAGGTCGTTTCATGCACGACTTATCGAGCATTCTAATGTTTAGGGTGAGATATATATATATTAGGGGTGAAACAATTATACCGAGTACTCGAGTACTCGCTCGGTTTTTTCAAAAATAATCGTACTCGGAATAAATCAGAGTACTCGTTCATACATGGTGCATGCATTTATCACAGAAATCTGCAGTTTCAGAGCAGCAGTAGGCAGATATTGAGGTGCAGACTGTGTGGTGAACATTTTTTCGCGAGTTGAGAGAGCCCAAATGACCCACGAACCGATATACCCGAGAAAAATGACTGCTACTCGGTTCAATCAGGGTTGTATCATGTGATTTTAAGGCCCCTGGTGTGCAATTTTTAGGGGATGAAGAATACTCGAATACTCGAATATTCGATCGGAGAAAATCAGAGTACTCGAACTCGGGATCTCAGTGCCAACTTTCACCCCTAATATATATAATATTAATACTCAATCTGCGGACAGCATGCTGTTTCGTTCTTTGTGAACTCATCAGCGCAGCACAGAGGAAATGAGGCCGAACCTGATAGCAATGGAAATAAAAATTTCCAATCAGGCCCGAACGTACCTTGCCAGAGTGCTCAAACTGACAAGTCAGTGAGCTCTGCGTAATGCAAACAGCAAAGGCACTACCCCCCCCTATATATATTAATATACTGCAAAGGATCATTCAGGAATGTTCTTTGCAAGGACGTTAACTAATACAGTAACAGCTTTTGCAGGATGATGGCGTTCCTACGGATGTTGAAACCTCTGTCGAAATGAATCTCAAGCGAGCCGTGACAGTTATGGGTTCTTTTTCAGTTGCTCTCGCAGAATAGTATTCCGGCTTTCCGCATCATGTAAGATTCTTGCGAATAGAATACCATTCAATAGTCCTAGGCCTGCGTGAAGTCCATAATAATTGTATACCGTTTCTGCACTGTTGTTCATACGAGGCACTTTGAAGGAATTGTAGCAATACATACATGTACATGTAAATCACCTGACTTTCTAGTAGTCATGTACAATCTCCCTTGCCATTGCCATATCGAGGGACTTGCCCCTTCTGTTCATGTCATGCCTCGCTTTAGTAATGGTTCATGAATCCGTCCAGTCCACAGTCTTTCTCCGTTTTTCTTTCCTTTCAGTTGTATGTTCCTTTCTGCTCTGTTTTACTTTCTCTTTTCGTTCGTCCCTCTTGATATTTGTATTTTGTACTGTTGAGGCCACGAACTGAACTAATAAAACCAAACCAAACCAAACCATTCTCCTCATC